ATTATTTGAATCTTTTTTTTTTTTTAGCGGGTGTGGTCTTTAAATTTTCTTAATTACGGTGAGAAGAACCCTGTCTCTGCTTGGATGTATAGGTCTGTCTAGAGCAAGAAAGAAGACTGTTCATGAAGCAACAGGGCAAATAACTTCAACATTATTAATTTTAGGTTGATAATATGGGCAGTTTGTGCTATAGTTTTTAGATTCTAGTTCTTGTACACAAAAGAATTAAACCATTTTTCGTAGTTCTCTGTTTTGGGGGGATTAAGATTTGTTAAAAAAGTGTTGACTGCGTGCCTTCTATTTGATTCATTAGTGTTGTAGTCGTGAGGAAATTTTTTCTAAAAAGCTGTTTATGATATTAATATTTTGTTTAGTCAGAATGTCACCAAATTAAGTGCATTATTTTGAGAAGTTGTGTTCTTCATATTTTGCATGTGATGTCACTATGCAGAAGTAGATTATACAACAGCTGAAGATTTAGCAGTATTAGATTTGAACAAAGTATCTTACCTTACAGCAGTGCTTAGTTTGAATGTTACATTGTATGTGGAAGGATAATATTTAAAATTGCCTTAAAATTTGGTGTGGAGGTTGGACTGGGTGTAACTTCCTCAGAATATTAGGGATTGTTCTTGTGTATGTGAATACATAACTTATATGACTTAAAATTTCTGACTAGCTGAGCGGTTATGACATTCTCACAGAGGATACCAGTTGTATTTGCCCACTACGGTGTTCTATGGATAAATTGCACAGAAGAATATGTTCTGTACGTGTTTTGTTCAGACAGAAAACTTACAAGCAAATTGTGAACAATTTATTTATTTTTAATTAAAATTACTGCATGTGAGAAAGAAAATTTGGTTCTTCATAGTGTCTACCTTGATAGCTGTAGTAACTTCTGGACATAACTAATTGATTTTTGTACCCAGAATAGCTATATAAAATTAGTTTAATACTTTAAGAAAATGTCTGAAATTTATTTTATGATAGGGCCTTCATCTATTTTCTGACAATAAAACTGCCTGCACTTTTGACCGTGACATTTCGTGGTAATTAACTGGGAATGCAGACATCTGGTGGTGAGCCTATGAGTAATAATGTAGTAGTATGTAGTGTGTCACTAGCTAGGTATTTTTGATGTGGTACGCCTATTAACATGTTCTTTTGAAACTTTTAATTTGTGATTACCTACACTACAACTCTCAAACTGCACCATCTTCTGTGATGTTACATAGTCTGCTCGAAGTTCACCAAATTTTCAGAGGAATATTGTGCTTCCATATTCTGGAATGCTCACTCTGCTTGCTTGGTTTACACTTCAGCCCAGAAGATGGAAGCAGTATGTTTGCTTAAAACGATGGTGAACCCCTTTCAGGCTTCACGGTGCCATATCCCAGAAAGTAGTAACTGCTGTTAGAACTCCAAATCCAGCTACAACTTCTCTGATCATAAATGTTAACAAAGAGTAAAAACACTCATGTAGAGGTTTCTGTACCTCTGCAGCTTTACTGCCAGTATGCTGAGCAGTAACATACAGCTTTGAAGCAATAAACATCATGTTCAGATTTTAGTGATGCAAATTGCTAACATGAAATATCTGTACACAATTGAGGTTCATGCTCTCTGTCTTTGAGATTATGTTTTCCTATCACATAGAAGTTGCAGATTGTGAAGCAGAAATTTACTATATATAAATTGTGTTAAATTCTGACAGTCTGTGTGTAAGATAAGATCTAAAAGTTTGTGGTGATGGTATATTGCTGCAAATATTATGTTTTTGGACATTATCCAGTGTCTTGTCTAATTATTTAAAAAACTGTCCTGTTTCTTTTTCAAAATGCAACGTTTCGGAGACTGGATTCTGTCCCCGACTCAGTTGGGTCCAATAGTTAGGGGCTAGCTCTGTCTATTGGACCCAGCTGAGTAGGTTTTACCTGAGGACGGGGACAGAATCCAGTCTCCGAAACATTGCTTTTTGAAAAAGAAACAGGACGGGTTTTTAAATAATTAGACAAGACAATGGATAATGCCCAAAAACATAATATTTGTGTGGTGTAAGATGTTTGAATATTTACCTGTTCATTGTCTGCGATGGCTGAAACTGTATCTCCTGTGTGACTGTGCAAACAGAAAATATTGTAGTGAGGACAAGATGTGTGAAGGAAGAGCATAGATTCAGGGTGTGGAGGAGAATATTTTAGCATGAAGAAGAAAGTAATATGGAAGTAGGGAAAACTTTGCAGTGAGAAGCATCATATTTGGTCATCTCGAACTTGAATTATTAGGATTGTGATTTTCTGAGGTGTGACTCCATATGGTTTGGTAAGTAGGTACCAGCATTTGGGAGGAACATGCTACTTTCACCTTCAGAGTGGAAGAATGCTGTTCTGTCTTGAAGGTTACTGCAAAATATCCTGGTTGCCAAACTATAAGGTGTTTTGTACCAGAAGGCTGTAATATTCCTGCTCTGAGAACCTGCTGTACATCTGTCAGTCATACTACTTGATGTCACATTGCTGAAAACCAGAATCTTTATCCCACTGTGAGAACTTCAAGTCTCAGATATTAATAGGGTTATTAAATCAAGGAGGATGAGATGGGCAGGGCATGTAGCATACATGTGAGAGATGAGATGAATGGAAGAGACCACTTGGTAGATCTAGATTATACATTGAATATAATATTAAAATGTGCTACAAAGAATTTGAATGTGAAGATGTGGACTGGATTCATTGGGTCAGGATGAGGTCTGGTTGCATGATTTTGTGGACACAGAAACAAACTTTGGGTCCCATGAAAGGCGGATAATTTCTTCTTAACTTCTGAAGAATTCTTTGCTGAATTGAGTTAGTATATTGCTGTATATAAAATTTGTTTTATGTAATATGACATTATCTCTGACTTATTTTGTATGTTGTCCATCTGCTGGAGTTCCTGCAAAGCAGCATTTTGGAAACAGAATCTGTTTCATCTTGTGTAAGTGAGGAACAATTCTCACTCCCCTGGGCCCATCAGAAAGAGCTAATCTGAGCCCTGGACACAGAAGATATTCAAAGCAGATAATATGTTTTTTCTGTTGATGTCAGTATTTAGATTTTTATATAGTGACTGCTGGATGAATATTTGCTCAACCTGTAGGAGATCTGTACCATTTTCTTGTGCTTCCATTCTTAATTTTCGTTGACAGTTTTTCTTTTTGTGTTGAATTTTGGCATAAGCTGTACATATTCTTTTCTTAGTATATCTTTCATTGTCCAGTAATTGAGATTTAGCACAGTCTGATGTGTCCAGGAGAGCAGGAACCTGATGATGGAAACACCCAGTTTCCAAAATGTGTTTTGATGAAACTCAAAATGTTGGAACAGTGCCTAAAATAATAGTAGTGTTTATGGTTACACATCTTCATCAGAAACTTGGCATAAGATTGGGTGTTCCTCCTTTGTTTATCTTGAAGCCTGCTTGCACTTGTACCTGTTGTTACCCACTACAGTCCACTGTTTCTGCTACTGTAGGGGAACTGCGATGGGGGAGAAGTCGACGGCCAGGCGTTTTCAGTCATCACTGTGACATTTGTGGCAAAGGCTTCAGCCATCAGATATCAGTGGCATTGCACAGGAACTTGCACAGAGGAGCCACGATATGTCCCTTCTGTCACGTGGTGTTCAGTCGCACCTACAACATGAAGAGGCACATCCAGTTTGTTCATGCAAACAACCTTTAGAATATAACAGTTACAGTTGTATTAGGGATCATTACTGATGTAAGGCATTTATTATAAGTATATGTATACAGAGAGGTTCATTTCTTCGTTTGCAGCCTTACTGATTCTAGATCTTTGAGTAGAATTCCGTCTAGTGGACACCTTTTTCAGTTCAACACGATACTGCATGATTGTAAATGCACATCTCCGGTATGCTTTGCAAATGTTTTTAGCAACGTCACTTAATCGATGTTACAATAACTGCTGAAAATTGTGTTTTCCAGCATCCAGGCACATTTCACCATGATGTAAGGGCTCCTGCAACACACTGAAAGTCACCTGTGGTGTCTTGAATAACATTCTGGTGTTTAACCTGTAAAATGTAAAACGTTCATATCAAGGGAACATGTTGGCCATAGTCATCTACTGATTTATGCTTTGAGAACAGTTCATAGAGTCAGTACTGATTTTTTTTACAGTGTTTGGTAATGCACTGTCCTGCAAAAAAAACTCCCATAACTAATTTTCAGCAATTGCCCCAACAAATGCATAAAGTGCTCATAGCTGACTGGTCGCAAGAACAATACACCATCAGTTTGCAGAAATTAATTTTGCACTTCTTATCACCACAGGAGCCTGTTTATGCTATGGCCATGGCTCATGCCATTAAGTTGCCTAGATGTAAATGTAATTTTTATCTGTGGGAATATGCTTGAATGTAGAAGACACAATTATCAGCTGATGATGTAATATCAGATACATAATGTGTGTGTACTGAAGAACATTTGTAAAGCCCAGATGAGACCTCCAGTTAGACCTGCACAGTAGCATGTTACCATATTACTGGAAAGAAGACACCCCCCCCCCTGAGGAACCAATGTCCATGTTCTACAAATACATGCCAATAAAACACAAAGGACTGAACCTCTGTATGTTTGATTAATATTTAATAGATTACTTAAGGATATTTGCATGCTGAATTTAGAAAATGTTCAATTATCTTTTGTTCTGAAAATGGACCAGGTTGGTGACCGTGTTAGGTTTTGTATAGTATATATTGATACTTTTATAATGTACACAAGTTTAGTTCTTACATCACCACAGCTTGCAAATTGTCACCTTCATAATTTCATGTTTTCTGCTGCCGTCACTTTGATATTACATAAAGCATTCTTTACAAGGAAATTAAAACGACAGGCATTCATTGGTGTTGGAACTGTTGCTGGTTGGTTGTACTGTAATTCTTTGGGATACACTTAGTTGTAGCACTACATGAGGACACTTTTTTCTCCTTTAGACCTACCTCACTGGATGAGGGAGGGGGATTGGATGGCAGAATTGAATTCACCGTCAAGCGGTGGACCTGAAGAGGCTGAGTTGCGGCATCCATTTGTTTGCCAAATATGTGGGAAAGCTTTCAAGCATGCAGGCTCACTATCAATGCACCGACGTCTGCATCGTGGCCATACTCGGTGCCCTGTGTGCCATAAAGTTTTCAGCCGCACTTACTACATGAAAGTTCATATGCAACTCATCCATCACGTGAACACGGATTGTTGAGGAAACGTGATGCGTGGCTGGTTGTTGGCTGAGTTCAGACATACATGAATTGTTGGGTATTTTGAAGATATGAGTTGCCACTATTTGCCCTCTGTGCATAAATTTGTTGTGATTCTTTGCCCCCCTGTTCATCTTTGTTTATATTTATCATAGAAAAAAATGAGGTAGAAGGAATTTGTGCCTTTATTAAAATTGTCCTTTTATTTAGTTATTTGATTTAGTTTCCCTTCTTGCAGTTATACTTTGTGAAGAAATTTTTAAATGTCTGTCAAAGCTGTATTCTTGGTGGGTTGATACGCATTCATGCTTACTCCTGTGTGCAGTATATAGGATGATTCAGGGGAGTTCGTCACACTTTTTGTGGATACGTCAACTGTTTTTATTTAAAAAGTTGTACCAAGTGGGTCCAGTTTGGAAGATATAAGGAGGCAGTTTGTGGATACACAAGAAATGGGGAAAGGAAATAAAAAATTTCACAGTACCTTCATTATACTATAAATAAAAGTAGAATATGTGTTTTCTTAATGAGATATGTTGCAAAAACTATTCAGTGTTCTGCTGGGACTGGACGATGCATTTGAGAGTGGTGTGTTATTGAAGTGGTTGGCAACACTTCTCATGCGTATTGAAGTGTTAGGTGGGCAATTCTAGCAGTTTTTGTAATGTACCATAAACCTGTCTTAAATGGAATCTCAAGGGTCCGGAACACTTTTCCGCTGAAGCCAGGTTTCAATTTAATCAAGGTATACTATAATAATTAAACTAGGACATGCACATATTTGAGACAAAATACTCATAATTTATTCACAGTATAATCATTGAACACAAGCAAACATTAGGCTGAATTTCTGTTTTCTTCTTTAGAATCTCGTACACTTGAGTTTTACCGACATTAAAACATCTTCATGATTGTTAAGCTCAAGCACAACTCTTTGTCTATTTGTATCCATGGTGACAGCTGCTAGACTAAAGTAAAAATGTAGATCTAGAGCCCTTACTGAGTAAAAGTTCCGGACGGGACAAACAGTTCAGTTGAATTTCAGTGCAGGTAGTGCAATACCGTTAAAAGCTGAATTGAAAGAGTTAGAGAAAACAAAATTCTGTAGAATGTATAGGATGCCTAAATTCTTCTAAATGATGCCTTCCAGAAGACTGGGAATTTTCTGTATAAAGGCTTATTTTGATTTCCGTTTCTGCGTTAGACAGTTTCCGTTTAATCCAGAATATTTAACATTCTTTTCGGCCCAAAAGTCACGGAACCTGACAATATTTCTGTTTAAGACAAATTTCGTTTAATAAAGGATCTGTTTAGGGCAGGTTTTACTGTATTTCCCTATTAAATAACACTGATTTTAGTTTCATGCTAAATTGAAATTTTCCAATAAAATCCCCAATTTTTGGCAGATATTTATTTTATGTTCAAACTGCAGTGACTTTGGGAATAGAACTTTTCTTTAATTCAAAATCACATGGTTAATGTACCCACAAAGTTGGCACTGTGCTTCTGAGTTCCTGTGTATAATTTTGAGTAAGAATTGCTTGTTGAATGTTCCTTACAAAGTAAAATAGAATCCTGTACATTCAGGTGATTCCTCTCTGCCTTGTCTGTGGTGTTAGTACTGGTTAATTCCAGTTTTCAACCATTGTAAGGAATCATACCTTCACGTGAGGTTATAGATACACTTTTTATATATATATATATTGTCAAACATTTTGGTGAAATTCAAGAAGAGAGATTTTTCTGTAATATCAGTTGGCTATTTTGATTCATTGTCACATTGACTGATTACAAAACATAAAGTTATGCATAAGTTCTTCACATGTATCATAAACCTTTAATATACTTTCAACCAGATTACATATAAATGATATTTTTATAATGTTGGTTTGCCTTCTCAATTTCAAGCTGTACTGACTGAACAAAAACAATTTTTGCGTAAGTCCATAAATGGGCAATCATATATCTGATACACCATTTCAGAAATGTTATTGTAATACTGTATATTATGATTACAAACTTACAAGCCATTTAAGACTACTTTTAATTATTATAGTAGGGTGTTCAGAATAATTCTTGACATGAACATTTAATAGATTTCGTTTGCTTCCCACCTCCCCCAAAACCCAGGAATGGGGTTTGCAGACTTTTTTGCTGCCTTCCCTCCCCATCCCCACTCATGCACACAGAATACAGTTGGGAATTTTGTGTACTACATTATAGACTGCATCCTTTTAGATTTTGTTAATCGAGAGTTTAAGTTCAGTCTAAGCATTTTGGGTGGCTGATGTAAGGCAAAACAACAGATACAGGAAATAATCACTGCTGAGAAGAATAATGAACTGCTATGAGATGATCACATGTGCCTTGTACGAATATTTCCATTTATTCAGAAATAGAATTGACAGTCTGATTGAGTAATTGGAAGCTGTATTTTGAAATGTAGTGTGAAGTATTTCTGTCACAGTATTTTAAAGTGCACTGTTACATGAAGATACTGTATTTGGATCTAAATAAGAGAGTACGGCAGAGGCTGGAGAAAATTGCATAACAAGGAGTGTCATAATCTATACTTTTTGCCCAATATTAGGTTAAGCTAATCAAGGAGGGTGAGTTGGGAGGAGCACAAGACAGGTGCAAGTGCATGGCCAGTTTCAGGTTAGAAAGCGTGAAGAGAGAGGGTACTATTAAAGTCTGTATAAAAGAAGTAGGGTTTGAGGATATGGATGGAATTCATTTGGCTCAGAATAGTGATCAGGGGGAGGTTCGTATGAGTACACTAATGAACCCTTGGGTTTGACGAAAGGCAGGGTATTTTTAGACTATCAGAATGACTAATAGCTACCCAAGAAAAACTGTGTACCTTGGAGTTGGTTAATTTAGTTTTTGCCTTAAAACCACCAATATATGTAATGAAGTATGAAGTCATTTTTATTAAACATGGTCAGCTTTCTGTGTGGATTTAATGACCAGCTTGGTGTCATAGTATTCAACACGTACATGGTTCAAGTTAGTTAAATGACTGTTGTAGATGAAAGAGACTGTGCTTTCTTTAGTTTTCCCAGGCTAGTAACTAGGTGTAGGTCAGCACTGCTTCCTTACAGTAATGATTTTCTCACTAAATTTGTATATAGCCTCTGCAGTTGAATACTATTGTTTTCTTGTGTAATTATTTAAATATAGATACATTGTCACATAAGCTGTACATTTGTATGCTTTTTAGAAAGTACTAATAAAGAGCTTTTAAAATTAACATCAGAACTTGAAATTGTAAAGGATATGATGAGTTGTACTATGATCTTTATGTCAGTATATTGTTCAGTTGTATTCATTCTGTGTGTGTATAAAAAAATCTGGGTTGTATTAAATATATGAAGTTACAAAATCTTGTTTTTCTTGTATACTTTATCTGCATGTTATCAGTTCTTACATTAGAAATAACAAAAATTAATCTTTATATTATGGAATCCATAATCCAAGCTCCCAATGCAATTAATTGGAATCTGTTAAACTATATTATAAAAATTGACTGCAAATATAATTTTAATTTCAGCCCTTCTTTTAGTGAGAGTTTCTTTGTGTGTGTGTGTGTGTGTGTGTGTGAAGGGGGGAGGGGCTGATTTGAAATAAAGACATGACAAATTATGTGCATTGAAACCTCCATTTAATGTTTCTTTTGGCTGTGATGGGTATGAACATTAAACTGAGGAAAATCTTAAATAGAGGAAATGCAAAGGTTATTAATTTGGGATTATTGAAATTGAACATAAAACTGGAGCAAACCTGAAATTGTTAAGCATTAAATGGAGGTCCACTTCATATGTAATTCTGTTACCTAACATAACCTTTATGTACATCTGGGTGTGTGTGGTTAAACAAGAAGGGGAGCAGTAATGAATTAGAGACCTGTGTGAATCGGTTTACCAAAACTTTCATATACATGGATGAGTTTGTATATTAATTGGGAGAATGGGATTACTGTTCAGCATATGTGGACTGTTATTATAATATGCTTTTAAATGTACATACTGTCTATGTTTTTAGACCTGGTACTCGACAGTGTTCATAGTGGATCCGGTGAAGTCGTAGCTGAGTTAAGGAATATAACGTGCTTGGTTACAGTACAGTACCCAGTCTCTCACATTGATGCTGTAAGGATTGTCCTGCTACTGCTCCCCCTGTGTAACCCAGAGGCCAGGTCTGAAGAGATGGGCAGTACATGGACATGATACTTTGTGCCTGTCTCCTTTCTTACTTCACTCTTTTCCCTGCACAGCACCTCATGGACTTATTGCCGAGTGGTGTGTGAATTCTCCGTCGAGAAGATTTACTGGTGTTCGATATCATTGCAACGTTTGTGGAAAGTCATATGGACATCATACATCTCTCGTGCACCATCAGAAAGTTCACAGTGGAGAAACTACGTGTGCCATCTGCAATAAAGTGCTGAACAGAATTTTTGATCTTAAAATGCATCTTAGTTTTGTGCATGGTATAAATGAAACAAGCCCTGAATAAGGCCATTAAGATAATGAGTATTTTATAACATGACAGAATGAGGGTAGGAAGTCACATTATTTAATGTTTCTAAATGCAGTTGAATGTTTCAAGGTCTTGAATAATGATAATAATAATAAAACAATAGTGTATAGCATAATTTAGTATTATTTGGCCTTTTTTTTTGCAAGATAGTGTAGTGTGTCACAGATTTTGACAAAATTAATGTTACTGTGGGAACAGAATGCGGAATGAGAGTGAATCCGCTGAAGTAATGGAAACACCACGTGGCTTTTGAAGTTGGATACGTCCTTTATGATAGCCTGTAAATAGCCATTGAATATAGGGTCTCTTCTTTTGTAGCCTATCATCTGTCCGAGGACGCACTGCACAGAGAAGGCGCAGACTCTGAGTTGAGCGACCACAGACTGAAGATGCCATTTCGTTGCAGGATTTGTCAGAAGGGATTCAGACATCCTATCTCACTGCAGTTACACAAAGATTTACATACTGGTCAGACTCAGTGTCCCATCTGTCGCAGAATTTTCAGCCGCAGTTACGACATGAAGACACATTTACATAGAATTCATAAAGTTGCAATTGTTGCAGATATTAACAAGAAGTAATGGTAATGACAAACTGGTTGCCTATACTGTTACTAAATTTTTTTGTATGATAAATATACCAAAACATCAGAATATTAATTACAGCATCTGTGCTCTCTGTATAAAAAAAAAAAGGCTGTGATAAGTGTAGAATTTCATTCATAATAATCAACAGATTTTTTTGGAAAAAATTCTTTGTTACTGTGCCCTTTTGTAAAGCATTCATTGAAGAATGCATAGTTCATGTAAACGTTTTTATATGTGGCTTGACAGTGAAGGAACAGGGTTGTGACATGTAGCCAAGAGGGTAGGATGTATTATATGTAACTAAGTAAAGTTTGGGTACACCATTAGTAGTTTTATAGTCACAGTGCAGTATGGTAAATGTGTATTATGGAGATGTCGTGTTTTCATGGATGTGAAAATTTAGATTTCTGTCTCCTGGGCTGTGGAAGTTAATAGATTGAATTCAGGTAATGTTTGTTACCATTCAGTTTAGAATATTTTGTCTTCTATCTAAAAATGTAAAACTAGAATATTCAAAATGATAGTTTTGTGTGAATGTGAAACTTGGTCTGTGACATTAAGGGAGAAACATAAACTGAGGGTTTTTGAGAATGGTGCTGAGGAGAATTTTTGGACCAAAGAGGGATGAAGTGACAGGAGATTGCAGAAAAGTGCATAATGAGGAACTTCATAACTTGTACTCTTCTCCAAGTGTAATTAGAATGATCAGTTCACAGGGCATGTAGCACATACGGAGAGAAGAAGAATGCATATGAGGGTTTGGTGGGAAAGCCAGAAAGAAAGAAAGAGAGTGGGAAGACCAAGATGTAGGTAAGCGGCCTCCGTAGTCTAGGGGTAACGTTCCCACCTCATGACTCAAGGTATGCAGGGTCAAACTCGGAAGGGGGTCGTGGAATTTTTAAGGGCGGAAAAATTCAGGGAACAAGTCCTCCGGGAGGGACTTAAGCTGTGGGTCCTGTGTCGTAGATTTATGGCATGTAAAAGGTCATCATGTCTCTAGGAGACCTCAGCAAAATTAGGCAACAAGTTTCCCGCCCAAGTAGTTTTCAGTGCCTCTGGTAGATGGGGGAAATATCAGGTCCCGAGGGCGGACCTCGTTGGCTGAACGGGGCTGATAGCACGCACCAGTACCGGTAGGGTATGGCGACAGTAGAAATTAAAGGGGGACGCACAATGGACCAATAACTGGTCTAAGTGCATGAGGAAACCCACCCCCTCTAATAATAATAATAATAATAATAAGATGTAGGTAGAAGAATAATATTAAAACAAATATTAGAGCAATAGGATTGGGTGCTATGGGCTGGATTTATTTGTTTCAGGATAGGAGCCAGTGGAGGCCTCTAGTTAATATGGTAATGAACCTTCAGGTTCCATAAAATGTTTGGAGGTCTTTGAGAAGGTAAATGACTGGCAGCTTCTGAAGAAGGACTCAGCTCAGTGAGGTTGGTTAGTTGGTCTCCTGGGCTGTGACTTTCAGTAGTTCTGTGAGTGGTCACCAGCTGTTTAGAGGAACTTCATGTACTCCTGTCTTCAGGGTACACATGACCCATGTACCCTGAAGGTGAAGGCAGTAGATTACACTGAAATACTGGGTGCGTAGTCACAATTTTTGACATTTAAGATGAGATAGAGGCGGTATGCAGAAACTTTCTCTGTTGCTCAGAAGAAGGTTGCTAGTTCATATGACAAACTGAAATCTCTTTGAATGTGCAGTGTCTTTGCAGTCATGACAGTGTGGTGTGGGAAGCAAAAGATGTACACAGCTTTTCAATGAAACTGTTCAGTAAGAGTGTCTGTATATTTCAAACATATTTAATCTTTTTCTGAAACTTTTATTATCTTTTCTGATGGATACCTTAGCTGGCTTGGCAGTTACCTAGCTAACAGGAGATTTCGGGTCCGTGTGTCTGATGCTCTCTCCCGGCCTCTTAGAGTAACTTCCGGTGTGCCACAAGGCTCTGTCCTGGGGCCCCTTATTTTTAATGTATTCATTAATGACCTCTGCAACTCAATAAGTTACTCCCATTTTCTGATTTTTGCTGCTGATCTCAAAATTTTTCACATCATAGACGCTCCACAGGATTGCCTCTTACTTCAAAATGACATTCATCATGTCAGTGACTGGTGCTCTGCCAACTCCATGAGTTTTAATATCAACAAAATGCGTGTTATGTCATACTCAAGGAAGACTAATGTCCTGCTGTATGGGTATCAGCTTTGTCATACTGCTGTTACACGCACCAATTGTGTTAAGGACCTAGGTGTTTTCTTTGATTCTAAATTATATTTTCACAATCATGTTGATTTTTTATATTCCGAATGTATAAAGCTCCTAGGTCTTATACTCTGAATAACTTTTAGATTTTCTTCTCTTGACTGTTTATATGTGCTGTATCTTACACTAGTCAGGTCCAAGTTGGAATATGCCTCGGTAGCTTGGAATTCTATCACGTCTACTGACTCCGCAAAACTTGAGCACATCCAGAAAACGTTTGCATCTGTCTGTTTCTATCGTTACTTCCCTCATAGCTCCTATAGTTATACATCTGCCTTAGAGAGACTAAGATTGCACCCTCTTAAGTATGCATAGACATCTTGATGCACTCTTCTTCATTCAGGTTTATCATGGCCTTAAATCCTGCTCCTCCCTTCTGGATAATGCTAGTCTTCGTGTTCCTACTTGCCATGTTTGAGACTTCTCTACTTTTAGCGTTCGTCCATCAAAAAGACACTGTCCCTCTTCTCGGTGTGCCCTTGCTACCAGGGTGGTGGGTAAAGATCTCGACATATTTGCAGACGGAGCGGTTTCTCTGAATCATATTTTACAAGCATGTACCAAACCTTTTACGGTGTTACTTGATTAGTGTTCTCATTAAATACAAATGTGTATACCTTGGCTAACTTTAATTTTCTTATGTAATTGGTATTAATTTATTAGACTTGTTATTAATTTTATGCTATCACTCCCAGTTGTCTTATCTTAGTATCTAGTTGCTAATAGTATTAGCAACGTTCATAATAATTCATAAATGTATGTATATATTTAAGTCTTCTCTAGATTTATGCTCACTGATTTCTTTCTGTCATATTTGTATTGTGTTTAATTATTTTTCTGTATCTTCATATACTCGTGCTAACTTTGTAACTGGCCACTGAGCTGTTAAGTTATTGCACATAAATAAACATGAATTGAATTGAATTGAACTAACATGCCTGGTGTTCAGTCACAGCTAAGGAGTGAGGGATACTTTGTGTCAAATTTATTGAAAGTTCAGGTGCATTCCATGTCAAGGTAGTTGTGTGGATGATCTGTTTCAGGTTTGCTTAGCCCTCTTTTGAGTTTCACTACTCACGGGAGCCAAACAGCTTCATGCCTGTAACAATAGAAAATGAAGGCACAAGTGATGTTGGTAAATATATATATATATATCATATTAAAATATCCACTG